AAAGTGTTGCCAATTTCTTTCAACCAGACTTAATGTTGTTTTTTTACAACTCTGAAAGAAAAAATTATGGCTAATATAAAAGAAACTATAAAAGTAAAAGCATTATTCAATAATTCGAAGAGACACAAAAAAATATAAAAGACCTTTTTTATTGCAATAATATAAATCATTTACATTCATTAAAATATAATATGTAATTAAAACATTAGTGTATAAAAAAAAAATAGTGAAAATTTATGAAGTATAGTTTTTATACAATAAAAATATATTCAAACTATTTTCTTATATAATATGAATATGAAATCGTATATATTATGAATTAAGAATCATATATAATGTGATTTTATATTGTAATAAAATCTTGAGATTTTATAGATAATAGTCAGACTATAAATGACTATAAATGATATACATTTATTATATATATATAATTATATTATATATATATATATTATATTATAAATTATTATAAATATAATAATATATATTTATATATTATATATATATTTATATATTAAAATATATAAATATAATAATAATAAATATAATATATATATTATATTATTATATTATAAATTATATATTATATTATAAATTATTAAATATTATATATTGTATTTAATTAGTATATATGTATAATCGTAAATATTAAATACTATAATTTTAACTAATAGTAATAGTAAAATAATAGTTGTAGTTTAGTAATATATTAAACTATATATTATATAGTTATATATAAAGTAAGTATATATATATAACTATAGTATATATAGTAATATAGTATTACTATATTATAGTAATAGTAATAGTTGAAGACAAAAAGCAGGTCATATTATACATGAATTGATAAATTCATGTATAATATTATTTAAATTTTATTGAACCAAATAATTTTTTCATTTTAATGAAAAAAATGTTTATTTCTAATTTTATTTTGAAATTGATTTTCAAGTAGCGCCGTCTCAATATACTATATGTGAACAAAATACTAAAATAAACCGGTTGCCTTGATAGATTTTCATGATTTGAAATTTAATTAAAAAATTAATAAAAACTATCTATAAAATAAAATTAGAAATTATTTTAAAATATCAAGCCATGAAAAACGTATTAGTTTTATTAACTATATTTTATGTTTATATTTTCTTTCGATATTTTTCCCCTCTATCCCTTGTACAAAATCAGAAATAGTACCATAGATAGATTTTACTACAGAATTCAACGGTACCAGATTCTAAGAAGAAAGTTCCCACAGCACAGCAAAGTCCATAATTTATCCGACAGCTGCATTTAATTAAATAATAAAAAATATACATAAATGCATATTTCTATATAGATATAGTATAATAATATTAAACAAGAATTAAGTGGCGATAGTGCAATCCACTAAGAGCAGAGACGCATTTCCAAACTATGAAAAATATGTTTAAAGTTTTAAAAATGATAACAAATTCATGAGATTTATAATTTTTTTCTTTTTATCGCAAAGTCTTAAAGAACTTATCAAGTTATTAGTTCACAAACGGAGTGAAAAATTGTTATAGGAAATAAAATAATCACTTTTTAAATACATACAATTAATGTTTAAAAAAATTAACATTGAATAAAGAAATAAATGTACGTCAAGAACATTTTTTTTTTTTTACAAGCCAGACATTCGAATTGATAACCTTAAAGTCTTCGTATGATTGAAGTTTATAGATTCGAATTATCGCTCTATAGAAAGAAGAAAAAACTATTTTTCTAAAAAAGTTGCCTTTAACTTCAGATTGAAGACTTCGTATCGAAATGCAATATTTGCAATATAAAAACTTGTTGATTAACAAAGTCTATATGACGTGACATTGGTAAATAAAAGAACTGTAAATATTATTATCTAATGTTAGGACAAGAGACTTCATATTATCGACTACGCTAAAAAAAAACTAGAAGAAAAAATTCAGAACACACAGAGCAAAATGTGTTTAAAAAAAATTTTTTTTATTAAATTTATAATTTTAATTTAAATAAAAAAATAATAAATAAATAATCAAATTTTCTTTTTTTAAGTAATTTCTTTAAAAGCTCCTCTCACTATAGATAATAGTTAATTCGGACATAAACAACTAAAAATATACTTTCATCAGAACAATATGACGCATTACTGGGCGAGCCCATAAAAATATGAAAAGCCAATAAGTTCAGATTTAACGTCCGTAACATATTCTGTTGCATTTTTTTTTTGGTGTTAAAGTAGTAACTGAATATTGATGGATAGATAACAATTTAAAAGGGATATTCTCGATTTCGAGTAATGATCTCTTTAAACAAAAATCATTACTACATCATGAACGGCAACAACAAAACACATTTCGGGTACAGATATTTTTTTGTGGCCCTCTAGTTCTCATAGGATCAGCGTGAACTAATATATATATACGTATTTTGTTGTTAGCACTTTAAATACCAGTCGGTAACTAAGCGCCTCATTCGAGATGCTAAATATATTAGAGGTATTTCTAATGTAACTGCTTAAAGATATGAACTTGCGATGGATTGAGAAACTTGCTCAGAAAATAATGTAATTAATTTGCAAAATAAACACTGCAAGGTTATCCACAAGGATCTAACCCAAAGAAGAAAAATAATGGCAGGCTAAGAACGCAAAATAATTACTAAAAGATTATACACAGAGATCTAACACAAAGAAGGTAAAAAATGACATGGGGAAGAATGGTACCGAATAACATACATACTCGCAAACTCGACGGATAGAAGGATTTTGTCTCTGCCCTATACTCTGTATAATAATGTAATTATAATTATTAAGTCGTAACTCTGTCTAAGAAATAATGGTAATACCAACACTTGACGAAAAATTAATACAAGTAAAATTTAGTTTTTGTCATTCACAGTCTAATAAACTTTCATTTTATTAGAAAGACAAAAATCCATTAATCTGGCTGCCATATGCATACTAAACTATTTCGAGACAAGTAAACCATTTCGCCTTCATATAGAGAGACTAATATAAAATTCTGCATATATTGGTTGGAATAAAATCTTACAAATGAATATATTGTGTTTCGAATGGGTTAAGAGAGAATTGCAAATTCTGGTTTTGAAAATAGTTTAGTATCATAAAAGTCTAGGACTTGTCAAGTTATTCACATTTTAGTATCATATTAACGAATAAAAAAATGATTTACTGATATATATCTTTTTTGAGAGATACCAGTTTAACATTATTGCAGTTTTTTAAGTTTTTATATAACTTACATAGAGTGTTTGTCAAGGTGTTTGTAAAGTAAATATAACAGATCTTATAAATATATGTATGTATTATTTACTTTGATCTAATAATTATTCGCCCGTTTGTTTCAACACAAACTAGCCTTTAAGAATTTCAGTCAAACACACAAAAAGCCACACATAGATTTTTCGAAACTGACTTTAAACACCAATTGAAATGACCAAATTTGGATGACTAGAGCAGTGGCTTTATATATCGGATCATTTTACATCAGATGATTTGTTCCTTTTTTTCACTTACACGTTTTCATATGAACTTTCAATAAATTTTTAAAAACCCCTCCTCATATGGGTCTCTATATACACTTATGGAACTGAGGTTTACTATAGTTATCATATTAATCAGAACTGATTTCACTAGAAGTATAGAACTATTAATCTATATATCTGTATATAAATACTTATGTAAAAATTGGGATGTAATGTTTGTTTGTTGATTATTTACCCATAAACTATTAATTTATTTTTATTTACTCTTAATATAATATTATTAAACGATACAGCAGATTTTAGATTAGGTTTGATTTAGATAGATGTTTCAGGTATGCTAAAATAAATTATTTTTACATACATTTCCGATAAAAATAATAACAAAAATTTTGATATTTTCAAGGATCACATATGTTATTAAAAATGATACAACGAAAAACATTTGATGAACAACGCAATGAACATTTAAAAATAAAAATAATTCGATTAACAACAAACTGAATTATTGAATTGTGATTTATGTAACATTATTGCAATGTTTTTACGTATAAAATAAAATTATTTACTTATAGCGTTTTCGATTGGGGTAATTTTTTCAATCGAGATGCATTTTAAATGCACTCTTAGTACAATTTTCATTTTCGATTGGTAAATCTGGAGCAAAGTATATAACACTCGAGATTAATTTATAACACTCTAAATATCTTGCCAGAGTAATAAGATTACTCTGAAATTAACAGCTGTTAATGTTATGTGATTTAACAAATAAAATGTGATTTGATATGTATATGTATTTATGAAACATATTAATGTCTACTAACACAACTAAAAAAATGTTAGGTTACTCTAAAAATGTAAAATTTGACAAATCGGGTGTAAATCTAGATTAAATCCAGATTTAGATTGAATCGAAAATGTTATTAGTATGCTATTAACATTCAACTATACACAAATCTCATTCATCAGATAGTTTTTTATTTATGTATATATATATATATTTTTTGTTTGTTACATTTAAACAAAATGTAGAGTTGAAATTAACAACTAGTCCTATGGACTAACAGGAGGTTTTTTTAAACAGGAGGGTTTTTAAGATAGTTTTTTATTTATAAACATAAAAATTTATTCTAATAAGAAAACTCTATTTCGTATATGTGCGATTAAATGTGTGATTAAAAGATTTGAAGGTTTCGGCTAAGCTTAAGTTACATTTTTGACTCGTTCTAGACTAAATTCGCTACCCACTTTACGCATAATCAATAAAGCTTATAGAAGACATTAAATAGTTTTAAAACATTTTTATTTATGTAGCAATAATCCATTGCACTAAGACATAAAACATTTAATGCAGTGCAAATCCATTTGAAATGTAAAGAAAAAATTACTCTCAAAGCCGATGCAGATTTCAGTCTCAAATAATGAATAAACTTGAGGTTAGATTTGTGTAGTCATTCTGGAAATGAACGAAACATGTTCAATTAACTTGCAAAATATCTTACCTTAATTACGAATCGTAGAATTGTGAGGAGAATATGTAACTTGTTGTGGAGAAGTATCGAAAGATCGACACACACGCATTTATAAATATATCCTCTATCCGAAGTGTTCGTATGTAGGCAGACTTCTTTGAAGATCCACAACTTCAAGCGTACAGACCATGAAGCGTAATGACAGACTGGTTGAACTGCGGATCTAATAATAGCACTGGATGGATATTGTGAAGAATGAATTCGTTTTGCTTTTCCACTTTTTACTTTAACATTTTTTTTTATTATCTGAAAAAGCGAATATGAATGCGCACTAAGTAAACAACACAGCACAGCACAAGACGATTTATTTTTATTTACTATTTACTATTTATGTACTATTTACATACGTATTTAGGTATAGCAAGCAATTGTACATAAATTCTTCAACTTTCGAAACGAATTTTTTTTACGTTGTTACACAAATTCCGTACTTCAAAAAATTTTGTTCACATCATCAATTTATTACGTCACAACTTCAATTTCAGCAACGAATCGACGAATCAACAAATTAATTTGTTATTTGTATTCGGAAAATATACATATCTTTTATTTTTTGTAAACAATCGCTCCATATAAAGCACAAGCCACCACAAACACTTCAATCAACAATAGTGTTGGCATGAAAAGATACATTAACACACATGCATAAAATTTAATCTTCACTTCTTGGGATTGGGATTGGGATGCATGCATTTGTACAACTCTTCAGTGTCGTAGAGACTATTTAATTCGCATTAGGAAAACTTTTTAAATCCAACAAAAAAAAAAACATATTACTACGACGACATCAATTAACGCAAAAAACTTAAAAACCGCAAGCATACATCAAACAACTGGAAAAAGCAAATGTAATTATTTAGCATCGTCTTGAGAAGATATCAGATAAATTGCTCCTCAAATGCACTGCGAAGAGATCATGCCAATGTTTACATACAAATCCAATACATAATTACGATGAATTGCACGGAGAGAAAATGCACTGTGTATTCTTGAAAATAGAAACGGCAGACACTGCTTACCATGCAATCGCTTGTAATTACACTCAGTTGCGAAACCGAAAACAAAAACACGGTACTCACATATAAACAAAAACCCGTTTACGAAAACAACTCGACGAAAACACCGCGAACAATCTTTACACATTCACAATACGCGTTCGACTGAAAACAGAGAAAATGTACGCTCAATCCCGCACACAAATTGTCTCCAACGAAATCGATCGACGGAGAAGTTGGATTACACAAAGCAAGAAGCTTTTGAACTATTTCTGTGTTATAATTCATAGCTACGTTTCATCGTGGAAATGGAACAGACAAATTTAAAACCAGAGAATACTTTTTTTTCGTTTAAAATTACTAAACATGTTTTATTCGTCGGTGTGAACAGCACTTAAGGCTAAATATTGAATTCACACAAGAGTTTTGATTGTAATTTTAAGAGTTTTGTTTGAAACTTAAATGATGTCTGAAATATCTGAAATCGAAAAGCAAAAATATAGATTCACACGTTCGTATCATTGTAATTTGATTGTCAGATATATCTTATGTCTACACTTTTTAACTACTTTCACAAACTATATACTTTATATGATATGTAAATATGACAAATATTTTGCAGATATTATATATACATATGAAATATATCAATTTTATTTTATTTGGTATAAAATTCCCTAAAACTATTCACAATAACTAAGTTTCTACCGCACAATACTGTTGGTTGGTTGGTTGGTTGCAGTGGCAATGGAAGATAACTTCCATTTACCTCCATTAGCGATTTTTCACTAATTTTGCTACCACATTCCTCGCAAGAACTCTAATAAAGAAGAGTAGAGACTAAGGCCATCAAGCTAAATTTAAATAATTTAATAGGTCTTTCGTCTTCACCGATGTACAGTCTGATAAACTATCAAAGAAGTATCATGCTAAAAACCTATATCTTCTAGACGCCTAAGCCGAGCATTCACAGAGAAAATGTATTATGGTCAAAATTCCAACACAAATCTTATTTATTTAAACTTGGGTTGCTACCGAAATCAAGAATAATTTGAAATGACAGTTAAAATCAAACTCTTCTGTGAATCCAGTATAAATTAGTGTCGTAGAGGTAGCACTTGAAAAGAAAGTAGCATTAAGCGCAAAACGCAAAAAAGATTAGTGATTCGTTATAGCAAAATACTCATAACACAAACCAATAAAAAAATACCAATAACACAAGTTCGAATCCGATCACCAAATACTTCGAACAGAAATAAATGCGATACAATTGCTTAATATTTTATCAGCTTATATATTTGATTTTCTCTATGTCAACATCAAGAAACCAAAATTCAATTGATTCTTAAGTGGGTATCACACATCATACTTGGTGCTACAACTTGGTGCTACAACTTGGTGCGACAACTTGGTGCTACAACTTCGTGCTACAAGTTGATGCTATAACTTGGTTGGACGTCGCTTGCTACTACACATCATGCACTGCGACATTATTTTAAACACTCCTCAGCAAAAAAAAAAACAACAAATATACTACAAAATAAAATCGTGCGTACATTTAAACGACGGTTTCGGTTCCAATCTTTAAAATAGAATGAAATTTGCATGTAAGTCGACAAAAATTCGATTGTACACGAAAAAACACGAGCAAGTCTGACGAAAAATCAAAATATTTTGATTTCGATTAGTCCGAACATAAGACTTGACACAAATTTCCATTTCAACACACCAAGTCGTAGCACCAAGTATGATGTGTAATGCCCGCTTCACGTTTCCTCTTATTTTTACTTAATCGAATGCATTATTTCCCATAAAGTAGAGCGCATCAGCTGATTTCGAGCAGCAGAAGTAAATCGTCTCTTAATATGTTTCCTTAGTCGGTCTTAACTTATTAAGTTTATTTAACCAGTTTCAAATTCTAAGATATATTTGAAATTGCAAATACATTGTTTTTTTTCAAATGGAAGCCGGAGCAAAAGCATTTTTCAACTTATTATTGCTAAATTATATGATCAGAATCTACATTTACAAGTCACACCATTTCAATGTCCCGATCTAGAAATTGATATTAAATGAAAATGAACACCTTTTTCGAAAAATAATGACATTTGAATTTATTATTAGTCGACTCCAGCTCTAACGTGGTATACGACAGTTAATAAAAACAATGAGATAATATCTGTTTGGACTGTCTTATTATTTTCAACTTAAGAAAATACCTGTTATGGACCCATTATGGTTTAATTAAACACAATAGCGGTATTGACGTTTTCGCAAACAAAACAGTGCAAAATGGCCATAAAAAAATATATTTCGAGTATAGTATATGTATTTTCCCGTAGACACTTTGCTCTGTTACCATGTTATTCGATTATCGAGCTCGTTAGTCAAGATTATGAATGCACCTTTTAAAAAATTGAATTTAAAATTTTTTATTAGACCATATACAGTTATAGTACAACAATATGTTCAGTTTGCAGAGACCTTATGATTGCAGTGAGCGCAAGGTCGAAGATCCTATAAGGAAAGTATATATTTGATAAGCTTTATTAGATAATTTAATCTGATGATGATCATCTGTATAAATCTGATTTTTGATGATTTTTGAAATGACTTACAGTTTAAACAGGTTTTTCTTTATGATTTAGTTATGATGATATGTTTGAAACATATGGATACTATTCGATACACATATTGAAAATATGATTTAATCGGTTAAGATTTAAATATAGCTACCATCATTCAAAAACCAGTAACGGAAAAATTGCTGATGTGAAATCTAATAACCTAGATCTACTAGGGAAGCTTAAATAAAATTAAACCAAATATTTTAGGAATATTCAACGATCGATAAAGTTAAATATGAAGGATTTATACATATATAAGATGATTAAAATATTGCTAGATAATTATTGAAAACGACTCTTATTTACAATAACGCATATATGCAAAGTAACATATCGATAAGTACTCCTTAATTATTTATAACTTATATTCTATAATCATCAACTGTGATATTTTAATATAAGAAGCAATGGACAAACTAGGTTAGGTTAGGTTCGGAAGGCGCGTCCACTCGGAGGCATATATTGCCCATTGTAATGTCCTCAAAAATTTTTGCCGGGAGAGGCGAGTTACTAACCTTTGTATGGACGAAGTAAGCAATTGAACAAAATACTTTAAAATAAAACCAAAATAACTGAAAAAGTCAGTGAACTCCAGAAATATATCTATTGAGTCACATAACTATATTTGGAATCAGTCAGATATCGTAGACTTTACATTGATCTAAATTGAATTGGAAGCGTGTATTATAGACAAAGCCGAACAATTCTATATTTCAATAGATAAATATATAACATTAATCATTCGTTCTAAAAAACAACAGATAATCCAACTAATATGGATCTAAGATTTCTAACGTTAATGGTCTATTAAATATTAACAATTTATGTAATTATTATTCAAAGGAAACAAAACAAAATTGTGCATTCCATTAGAACTACACAATAATTTAAAAAACAATCTGTTAATGTTATCATATTGCAGAATGTCATATATTATAAATGTAGATTACTTCATCTTAGCAAACTAATAACGACGCATTTGAACTTAAAAATAGAGCATTTGAACAACTTATAGACCCTTGCACTTCTTAGTTGGTGTCACAGTTAATCACTTTTATAAATAGTAATTAATTTATTTATATATAGTAATAAGTAAAAAAAACAAGGAAAAATAATAAAAAAATTTTTATTTATTTTTATATATTTTTATATATATTTTTTTATTTATAATTATTGTTCTAATTTGAATGAATCCAGAAATAATTTTTTTTGAAACTATGAAAAACAGGCGTAGTTCTAACGTAGGACGTTTAACATTGTTTAATAAATAGAAAAAAACCTATTTGATCTGTAGCTAATAATTATAGACAATAATTACTTTATCACTGAAAACACCAAGAAAGAGAGATCTCATGTATGCTATATAAGTTCAGTATCCTGATAATACACACACACACAATAGTCTAAAAATAATTATTTATTACACATTTATATCTTAAATTCATAAAAATTTATTTTTCATAAAACAAGATGCAATATACTATATTGTACGATACTATTATATATTGAATAGTATCTACAAACATTATCAATGGGTCACAGTTAAGTAGTTTTAGTAGGTTAAACTCTGTTCCGATATTTTGCAGTTACTCCACAAAAGAGTAATTTGTTTCTTTTTCTTTTTTCTTTTTTTGCTATATTCCTAAATATATTTATTTCGGATTGAATCATTATTTGTTATTCATAAAATCATTATATTATCATCATATAATCATCACAGAATCATCATACAATCAGCCCTGCAAATATATTAAAGCACTTTGGATTTAAAGTACTTAGTCTAGGGATGGAGAATTGGCAGGCAGTACTTATCTACTTTGTTTCCTTTTTTTAAGTAAATTTATTAAAATATTAAGTAAATTTTAAAAGAAAAATTGAAATAAATATAAAAAATTTGAAATTATAAATGCGAATTAATTACTCCCTAACAATGAAAATAATTAGAAATAATTAGAAATAATAATTAAAATATTCCAGTGATCATTTTTTTTAAGAAACAAAATATATTTTATTGCAATACACTTGATATTTAAGCCGTTTTTAAACAAGTGACTATTTTACATATAATTTTAGTTATATGTATTTTATAAACCTGTATATCTTCTATATACAAGATTAATATGTTTTTAATCAAAACATTGAAAATGTTTATGAAAACATTTTCTTCATATATATTTTTAATTGCAAATGCTAGTTGCGTCCTTTTTCCCTTTTGGACGTTATAAGCTGGCACTTTGACTATATAGACTAATTTTTAAACTAAATTACATTTTCAATGCATGATTTATTTACTTTAATAAATGATGCAGAGAATTTTGAATTGTTATTTGATTTCAAACAATTAATAGATATCAATATAAGTCCATTATCAAATTTATAAAAATTTAACAATCCAAATAATCTAATCCTAATTAATCAAATAATAACCTTTAATCGTATAGAATATATAGAAAGAACTATTGAAAGAAGATTCATGGCATTAGCAAAAAAAATCGGTAGAAGCGTTACAAATTAATGGTTCTAGTACTTTTAAG